GTGGAATTAGGGTTCTTTTGGTCGACGCAGATCCCAATTCTTCACTTCTCATGAAGAATCTCATGACACAATTCTCCTATCAAGGTATCTAATTAGAATTAATCAGAGTTTCTTATGATGTTTATGCGATGAATATAATAAGGGTTAGTTAGGGTTTTTATGGGATTTAAATTAGCCTTATTATCTGATTTTTCAGTAACGTATTATGAAAACGGAGACGACGCTATCGCTTTCTTGAAGAAGAAGAAACATGAGATTGATTTAGTGCTTTGGGATTATCATATGCCTAATATTAATGGACTCGAAGCTCTCAAAACCATTGGTAAAGAAATGGATTTACCCGTTGCAAGTAAGTATGAACGATTACACCAATATTTATTTGTTTTCTATTTTTCTCGATATATAACTTAACTAGATGATTGATAATCGTTTATTTGATCTATTGTTAAACTATTCGTGTCAAGTCATGTCTCGTGGCCACAAGAAGGACACGGTGAAGAAATCAACATTGTACGGTGCATGTGACGTTCTTGTGAAGCCAGTGAGCAAAGAGGTCACTGCGGTTCTATGGCGACATGTTTTCCACAAGAGGATGATGTCAAAATCCGGTTTAGGTAAATCGGTTGGTCTTATAGGACAAGACAATGATGATCTCTATCAAAGCAACGAAGAAGGGTCCAAGAACGTTGAAGATAGTGTAGAACAAAACACTTCAGATCAAACAGGAGAGAAGTCTTCTTCCAAGAAACGGCGAATGTCATGGACTCCTGATCTNCACCATAAGTTTGAAATAGTCGTCGAAAAACTCAGCCGCCTTGATAGTAATTTAATCATCACACTAATCTTATCAGTGAATATTAAAGTTTCTTGGTTATTAATTTACCATAGCTTACACTTTGTGTTTTGAAAATGTGACGCAGAGGTTTATCCAAAGCATATTCTCAAATGTATGCAAGAAGAGATGAATGTGAAAGGACTCACTAGAAACAATGTAGCCAGTCATCTTCAGGTAATTAATGTCTATCTATATATCAAATTTTGTTATTTATTGCTAGTTTAGGTTTTTTTACTTAAGCGACAAAAAACCATTAATTAGGGCTAACGATTTACAGCGATTACGATGGCAGAAGTACCGTCTAAATGTCGGAAAAAAAACCCACGTTCCCCAAGAGACTGAAGAAGATCCTGACTGGCGTAACACCGGGCCAAACACTGCTCTCGTGGCTTCTAAACCACTCCTAAACTCAGCCATCAATTTCCAAACTGGACTACGGTATTTTGTGAACGATCAAACCGCGGCTAACGCCCCGATCCAGTATCCATCAAGCGGACCGATCCAGTATCCATCAAACAGTTACATGACGATGAACAACAACCACTTTATGAACAATCCTTTGGCTAATGTGCCTTATATTGACCCCTTTTACCAGCCGGAACAACAACAACAGTACTATCCTTCTCTTCATTTTCCTTCCGTTATATCCAAGCAAGATCTTGGACACGTTTCATCAGTCATGGAAAATTTGGATCTCATCTCTAACCCAGATTTACCCTTCGATCTGCACGAGTGTTTCCCTCCAGGATACAACATTTTCGATCAGAATACTCGATATTGATCCATCGATTTGAGGTGATATATGAACC